GGGCTTCCAGCTAGCTGGCAGGTGCTCCACCACAGATCCAGCCTTTTATCTCTAGTTCTTTTTGAGACTGGGTTTTATGTTTTCCCCAGCATTTATCTATTGAGATAAGACCTTCTGAACATTGTTTTTTGCCTTGGCTAGCCTGGAACCATGGACTTCCTGATTTCAACCTCCCAAGTAGCTAGGACGACAGTCATGAGCCACTGGTGCCTGGCCAAGTGAACTTGTGTCAGGAAGTTAAACCACCAGAGGAGTTTAATTTGTTTCTCTGTTTCTAGTATTTGAAATGTAGTTGGATGACACCCATATGCATACATAAATATATACGTGTGTGTGTGTGCGCGCACGCGCGTGTGTGTGTGTATGAACCATTCCCTCCTTTCCAGCCTTTGAGTCCTGTCACTCCCTGACCAGCTCCAGGTACCGCGGTGGGCAGAGAGAACTTTACATCACCCTGCCTCTTCCTTGCACTGTCTCGTGCTTCAGAGTACAGCTCAACGTGTGTCCACTGCAAGGCCTTTCTATGTGTAGTGTGGCACATGCCCATCCATGACAGTAATGAGTCCTTGGGAGCACCTCTAAGTGCAAAGACCACTTTCTGTGCTATTACAGGAGCTTCATGACAATAGAGCCATCTCTGACTCATTTCTGAGGCCCTGAGTGGAAGGAGGCAAGTACCTGTACATTCCTTCCACCCAGGCTTTCCTAGGCTACTGACTCTCTGTGGTCTTGGACTGCATTACACTGTGATGAACTTGTCCTTAAAAGCTTTACCGCCTCACCTGACACCAAACTGTGTCCCTCAGCCAGCATTGTTGAGAGGAGGTCAGTTTGCTTTGGGGCTTCCTGTCCACCATAGTTTTATCATGTTAAATAGGAAGGGGGAAAAGAGAAAGGGATTATCAGCCCTTTTCTGATAGTAAGTGGTAACCTCAATCTGAATCTCCAGTCAATGAGAAATGAACCCACAGCTTTCATGTCTGTCGTCTGTTTTGTGTGGTCAGCACCAATTTGGGTGACTGGCAGTCAGTAAGTATTAAATCATGTTTTCGTGGATAGTCAGATAGATGGGCAGATATCCAGATGTTTGGTTTTGTGCAACCGTAATAGAATTGATGGTGATTTGGATTACAGAGTTGTTGGTATTTTCGCCCCGATGAATAGTATAGAATTGTGGGAGAGGCTGCTGTGTGGCGCTGGGGGAAGGGAGCAGGCAGATGCAGCACACATGTGCAGGGCCCCCCGTTCCTTCCTTCACAGTCAGACTGGAATGACAAGAGATGCCCCAACTTTCCCAATCACCTTCTTCATTTTTAGTCAGCTTTGCCTATTTTGGGATGACCAGTGTGATTCTTGAAGTAATCAATTAAAAAAGGATCTGAGGAAAACTGTTACACAGTGCATTACTTTTTCTGAATAACATGCAGGACCTTTGCTAGCTTTTCTTGAAATCCGGGGTGAGAATTCACGGTTAATTGAAGGTGAAACCACTTTTTGTGATAGGCGATGGGCTAAAGAACCCTGTAGAAGGAATCCCAGATTACAGTGGTTCAGAAAAAGAAAAGAATCATGAATATTGTGTATTGCGTGTGGGGATGGGAGGAAAAACACTGAATGGGTAAAACCAACCACGCTCTTTATTTATCTTTAAATTTATTTTTATATAAGGGATTTTATAGCTTAATCCCTGTATACCATCCACTCTTCTGAACTAAAATGTGTGTATGTAAATGTGTGTATGTAACAAAATCTATAAGATTCTGTCTCCAACCTGATCAGCAAAAAGTAAGACTTGGGGATATGGTAGAGTGCCACTTTGACTAAACACGAAGCCCAGAGTTGAAACCCCATTACCATGCAAAACAAAATACTTTGCAAAAACAGTATATTTTAACTCACTGTAAGCATTACAGTGCTTACAGTGAGGTATCATGCTTTGAGAGCTATCGGTATAGCTAGCTTCCAAAAAGACAATAAGAACAATGTCATGTATACTTGTTCTTTCATAAAATCTGTAACTTTCTGGGGGGAAAATCACCCTATTATTTTAAAATGTGTATCTCCTTAGCAAGTATTTCATTGGACAACTATTTTGAGCTAAGCAAATTTCTCTCCAGAATGATAAACTACATTGCTATTCAAATAAATGGAATTATCTAATACCATAAGCACTTATTTTATTTACTCATAAGGCCAGAAATGGTTTAAAAATAAACATTATAATACATTGGCCATTGCTGTGAAAAGGACATAAATTGCCATTTTAGAAACTGCACGGACCACATTATAATTTTGCTGAAATGTTCCTAAGCAATTTTGCAAAGAAAGCATATGCTGAGGCTAATCATTTGTATAGAAATGTGTAACTTTAAAAAGACATATTTATACATTATGCTCTCCAATGAGAAGCTGGGATAATTCACACGTGTGTATTATCAACTGTTCACAGGGCATTCATTATTCTTCCCACAGTACAAACTGCATGACTTTCAGAGTCATGGCCCTAGGCTGTGTCTCTGAACTCAGGGCAAATGAGGTCACCTCCAACTCCAGCATGGTCTTTTAACCCGGAAGTGACTATGATAAGCCAAGTCCAGACTCCAGCATTACAGAGCCAAGTCTTACAAAGCTGGTTCCTCTGAATCTTGGATTCCTTCCCTCTGTTCTGAGGATGATAAAGAGAACTCAGCTCTAGGTTCTCTGAGAACACAGCTAACACATGCCAAACACCCAATAACTCCATCCTATGCTGGAAAACAATTTCTAATTTGTGTGTGTGCGCGGGCACACGTGCAGGTCTTGGGGCTTGAACTCAGGGCCTGGGTGCTCAAGACTAGTACTCTACCACTAGAGCCACACCTCTACTTCTGCCTGACTTTTTTGGTGTTTAATAGGGGATAAGAGTCTCACTGTCTTTCCTGTCTGGGCAGGCTTTGAACTGTGATCCTCAGAACTCAGCTTTCTGAGCAGCTAAAATTATAGGTGTGAGCAACCAGTGCCTGGAAATGTCTAATTTTGAGTCCTAATTTGATGTCAGTTCTAATTTAATCTGAACCTGTACTGAGGAAATTCTCTAATCTTCTATTCTCTCAGGAAAAATAAAAATACTCTCACCAATTGGTGTTTTCTCTTAACCTAGTTGAGGAAATTTAATCATCTCTCATGAGCTAGTTATGCTTGAAGCCGAGAGCAGCGTTCATTACTCGTACACCAGAGCAGACAGATATTTTACGTTGGGGTGTTTTGCTTGCATGCCCCTTGGGTCTTGAGGGTAATGAGCAAGCTGGCATTTGACAAGGCGTCAGGGGATCGCAGCTTGCATACGTCAGTTGAGGTTTCCTCTCTAGGACAAAAGACATAAGCTTTCAAATTGGAAAATCTCTTCAGAAAGCTATCCTCCTTGTATCCAAACTGTGTGTACTGCTGAGGATGGCCTTGCTTCCACTGTGACACTGGACAGCATCCTGAGAAGATGTGGGAATCCCAGAGGTGAAGCCCAGGTGGTCGGCAAGTACAGATACATCGCCCCTGGAGACTCGGGAGCAGATTCTACACGCCACCCACACTTTCATGAGAGTCTGATTTTCCCTTTAATTTTAGCTAATAAATACAATATGATATGAAGGTGAATGAGCTTCCCAATTAGAATGCTTCAGGTGAAGAGTCGTAACTTTGGATCTAGAAAATGTGTTCAGTTTTCACATATTCTGTGTCGTACTGAGAAAATTACATGTGCACTTATGTATGTAGACGGTACTGGATACATGACCCAAGGTCAACATGTTAATACAGCTGCTTATTAGCCCCTGTAAATTCACATGTGAAGGCCTGTTTAAGAGTTCTGGAGGGATTGACAGAGTGGCTCAAGCAGTAGAGCACCTGCCCAGCAAGTACAAGCCTCTGAGTTTAAGTCCCAGTATCTCCTAATATAAAAGAGAATTCTAGAAAAGCTCTGAGCTGACCAAGAAAATATATTTAGGATCTAAGAAAAGTCAAACAAGCCTTTAATTGATTAATGCTGATGCAAAATTACTAAGGGTGGATGAGTGAAGAATCTCATATCACAACCATTACATGCAGCTGGTAATAAGAACCAGACTTAAAGCAGAGTGATGCTATGAGGATGTTGGTATACAAGGGAATCTGCTCTGATGGTCAGCCATCTACCCAGGCCCAGCGCTGTGTGAGCCACAGGGGAGTCAATGGACATAGACTGAAAGAGGGAGGGACTAAAGGAGATCCTCGGAATCACTGTACCCAGTGGAAAATTCATTTTCTCTACATTTAAGGAAAAGAAACGTGGGCTGGTCTTGTTGAAAAGATGTTAAGTGTGCTTCACACCTTAATAAAAATTGTTCTGTCAGCAACCACTTACAAATTTGCAATGATCATGCTGTAAAAGTCTATCTATAGTCATTTGTTATGTGTGTGTGTGTGTGTGTGTGTGTGAAAGAAGAGAGAGAGAGAGAGGGAAGGAGGGAGGGAGGGAGGGAAGAAGGAAGGGAGAGAGACCTGGAGCAGGTGCTCTAGGTGATCTCATTTTCAGTCACCCTAAATAAATTGCAGTGACCCAGGACAGGCATAGAACCCTGGTTATGGAAAGTTCTGGGAAATACTCAGATGATCAAATAGACTGGAACCTGAGTGGACCTTTTAAGCTGTGGGCTGGGTGAATTAGAAATGACAATCGTCGATACATCTACTAAATAAGAGAGACCTGCCAGAGGAAGGCTAAGAATGTCTCAGTCAAAAATGAAAAAAAAAAGAAAAAGAGATGATTTAAGGATCATCGGGAGCTGCAGATCTTAGTGGAAAAAGTTTAGCTATAGAGATACACAAGGGTAAGGGTGTGTGTGTGTGTGTGTGTGTGTGTGTGTGTGTGTGTGTACACGTGTGCGCGCATGGCTTAAAGCACAACTTAAACTTACACCTTGCACCATCAGAGCCGTCCTTCAAGAAAGGTCACTGCCACAACTGACTCTTTCCCCTTTTTCTTTCAGGCCCTGCTGCAAAAAAGAAGTATGTCAGTTATAATAACCTGGTTATCTAGCCTGTTCCATCCCATGGTACCCTGAAGGAGGAAGACCCTCACTTATTCTGTCACCCAACCTGGCATAGGACTCTTTCGGTCCTGCGCGCTTCCCAACACCCGGAAGAGTTACCCAGGCCAGGAGACCAACGTTAGAGGATCCAAGTGTTCTAAACAGCTGCTTCATGAAAATATTGTTACTTTATCTTGGCTTAATAAGTCACTGGCATCCACACTGCCAACTTGGCTGCAATTCTGGACCTTCCCTTACCAAAGGGAGAGTTGAGACTCAAGTCCCAACCAGGCTCTTTAGGAGAAATCGCTGAGAGCCAGAGGACCGATCTGGGGCTGCCTTGTCTTTCTACGTATGTATTTCCAGGCTGCAAGGTTTTGAAATTTTCTGTACAGTTTGTGAGGACTTTTGCACTTTTGCCATCCGATGTTGTACCTTGGTTCTCTGTTTGTTTTCGAATGCCCTGTTTTCATAGAGCACCTATTCTCTCAGATGGTGGAATCTTTGGGGAAGTTTTAAAATAAAAAAAAAAAACTCATAAAAGTGATCTCGGCAGACACTGAAAAAAAAATCCCTCCACATACATCTGTACATGACTGTATAATTCTGATATAGAACCACTGCAAATCACATTATTTTTTTTAAAACAACAAAAAAAAGATATTTAAAGACCAAAAACTGTGCTGGGAAAGTAGACTCCACCTATCTCTGCTACACGGTAGGTTACACAGAAGGAAAGTATCGGCCGAATGGAAGCGAGGTCTTGATCTTCGGAATGCATGTCAGTAATGTATTTTTACAGTACATGTTAATAATTTACGTTGGCTATTTGTATTTGTGTTCTCTTTCGTTATTTTCATTAGGGTATATGGGTATTTTGCAATAATTTGAATAATTATTAAGCTATTTGGAGGAAAGAATATGGATTTTTCACGTCTTGAGGTTTTGTTCATGCGCCCCCCCATGACTGAACAGTGTGACAAGAACAAAAAGCATGTATGTTTTTTACTGTTTGTAATAAGTACTTTCGTTAATCTTGCTGCTTATGTGCCAATTTAGTGAAAAAAAGTTTCCCTTGCTGAAAACAAAAAATTCCCTCTTTCCATTCTCTTTCGATTCTGTGGTATTGTCCAAGAATGTATCAATAAAATACTTTGGTTAACTTTTTTATTTTTCTGCAATAAATATTTTAGTCGTTTTTCCCCTTTTAGTTAAGAGTTTATTTCCAATCATAAGCTAGGGAGCAAGGTAGGAAACCAAACTTGTCAAGGTAATACTTCGTAACTCACCACCACAGCCATATAGAACCCAGAAAAGCTAGCTGCTGCCCTTGGAAAGGAATGGCCACAAGAATTAGGCTTTTCTTCTCTGTCTTTGAAGCTGAGAGCTGCAATCTCTTGGACATTTTCTCAACAAGCTGTCTATCTAAAACAAGTGACAGAGAGAGGAGAAAATAAAGTATAGCTTACATAAGCATGAAGGCAAGTTAATGAAAATATAAATGTTTCTGCAATCTTTAAGAACACAAGGAACTAAAAGTAAACCAGTATGAGGCATTTGTTTATGGTTTAATTATGTATTATCTCTAGTTGTACAAAGAAGGTGATATTTAACAAGGCAGTGTGTGAATACAATGCATGTTGGTCAGTATCATTCCATTCAACGTTCTCACCAACCCTTTCTTTCTTAATATTATGAGATATACCAAGAATTCTTGATTGCATCTCCTCTTTTCTCCTTTCATTCATCTACACCTCTCTCCTTGACCCCAAACCATGTCTTGCATGTACCCATTTCTTTGTGCTTCTTTTGTTGGGCTTTGACATAGAACTATCCTATGATCCAGCAACACAAAGTTACAGTTAAGTAACCAGCACAACCACATTCACTGCAGCATTATTTACCAGAGTCAAGATATGGAATCATCTATATACAAATTAATTTTATTCATCCATTAGAAAGAATAACATTTTGGCAACTACCAAAGTCTTCTTTCTGTCCCTTTACTTCCTGAGCCCAACCAATGCGTTTGCAGAGACTAGAAAATTAGAGATAAAGAATATCACAAAATTTGCCATTTCCCTTATTCCTTAACTATCCTTCAACCAACTGTCCTTGGAAAAAAGGCAAATCAAAGCAGAAATGAGTTTTGAATTAGCCATAATTTTTATGTTGTACAGTTAAACTGGTATAAAAACCTGGATCTGAATGCCAGCTAACTGTCCTTGGGGAAATCATGTAAACACTCAATTGTTCACTTCCTCAGCCAGAAGAGAATGCGGCACAGAAGCCGTTCCATAAGGATATGAGAATTCCTGTGGAGTTTTTGGAAAACGACTCAGCAAATGGTGACCTCTCTACACTGGGCTTTGATAACCACTGCCAAGGTCATCTTGGTATCGTCGTCAGGGCTGTTGTCTCTTGTTTATAAAATAGATTTAATGCTGGGCACCTTAGGAGGCCAGCCCAGGTTAAGAAAAATAAGAAGGAGTAATATATACTTATCTCAACAACAAGGCCAAGTCAAGTTAGAGCTATGGCTTAAGCTAAAATCTGGTCTCCTGTCCATTTTACTTATCACCTACTGCTTTCCAATCTCAGCCAAGCCATGCTCCTTTGGAGGCCTCCAGTTTCCATCTTTGCTGTGGGCATCAATTATAGATGTATAACCCTTTTTATGAACCAAGTGACATGAACGAACATGATCAGATCACCTAAGACAGGGTTGGACTTGGGTCCAACGTGGGGAAAGAACAATATGTGTGACTGTTGCCATAGCGACTGAAGCCTCAGTTACCCAGCAAAACTTTTGGCTACCACTTCCCACAAACAAAAGCAATCAGACTTCAATGGGCTCACACCCCACAAGCACTTGCTCCTCACTGGAACTCTATTGTTTTCCATAAGACACTTCTTCTATCAGTTTGTCTTTATTCGGCTATCATCACTGTCTGTCTAGATCCTGATACTCAAATCTCTTCTCCATCCTTCCACGCTCTGTTGTGCTGGTGATAAGTCTGGTTACAGTCCTCAAGAGCCTAGAAGATAACAGAGTTGTAGAATAGGGTGCTAGAGGCTCCCTCAGAGAGCTGAGATTTTGGTGTGTTAGAGTCTTCCATGGGTACGGTTGTGATTATTTATGTCTGTGTGTGTGTGTGTGTGTGTGCACGTGCGTGTGCATGCGCCTAGATTAGGGCTTGAACTCAGTGTCTCAAGCTCTCGTTTGGCTTTTGGCTCTCCTAAATATGACCATTGGTTTTTCTCTCATGCACAACAAATACATAAAATATGAGGGGCATTTGTCCTCCTGGAAACACCAGTTGCCTCCGTGGCATTTCTCTGACTCTCCATGACAAAACTAAGACATGGGATGGAAAACCCGAGGAGGGCTCAACAGCTCCCTGACCTGGCTTTTGGTCTCTACGTACTGAAAGGGATTCAGAGGGGGAAATGCTTACAGCTATGGTCAGGATTATCCCCCCATCCCCGCACAAATACACATACTCATACCAAGAAAAACCTTGAAAGAAATACACACAATGGGTATGCAATCACGAGTTATCATTCACTCTTCATCCTGCCTCCCTTCTTTCCATTTCCTTTGCAAAGGGATCGTGCTGTATTTGTTTACAGGAAGGAAAGTCAGCTTTTCAAAAAAAAAATCCTATGGATTTCTGCTAAGCTGACAAACAGTGCAGGATGCTGACTCCCAGCTCAAAAGCATCTCTGAACCCAAATTTCAGGAATACACAGCTGCTCTGCACCTGCAGCTATAATAGAATCATCTGGGGGACTTTAGAAAAATAGCCAGGCTCAGACTCCACCTCAAATGGTGGCAGAAACATCGGAGAAAACCTAGGCAGTGATGTATATCTTAACTTCCCCTCATATGCTGTGTTCTTGAGAGACACTTGGAAGCATGAACCAATGGACGCACACCATCAGGAACAAGAGCAGCCTCTGACATTGGCTCCAAGGTCTCATCTGGGCATTGCACAGCCTGTCAGAGGATCAACACGCCCAATGGGCCAGAATGAGATGCTAGAAGGAAAGTTCACCAATGGGATTTCGTCAGATGACAGAAATCTAAGAAAGCACTTATGTGAAAATATCTTGTAATAGTTCTCCTTGTGATGCACAAAAGTAACAATTCCAGATGGACTATGGACAAAAGGGTACAAGAGAAAACAGGTTTGTTCAAGGAAAGTCTGAGGGTCTCTTTTTGACTTTGGAAATATGGGATTATTTCTAAAGGGAGATGAAAGGAATAGTAATAATTCTTATATTTAAAAAATAAGGCTACTGTCGGTGAAAACAATATATTAAAGGAAGTAGAAACCTGTGAGAAGATTTTTTTAATTGTGAAAATACTGTACAGAGGGGTTACAAAGTAGTGTTTCTTATCAAACTGTGAGAAGATTTTTGTAACACATATCCTATCAATGGATTACCAGGAGAAGTATCTATTAGGGATAAATACCCAAATGCACATGGGACATATATTTATACACATATGTACACACATACATATATACACATGCATATATACATATATGTGTGTGTAGCATTGCATGTAGCCAGTGAATGTGTGTGTGTTCCTGATAATCCTGGTCAAAGTCTCAGCCTCTGAAGCCATGTATTTCCTTCTGGGCCTTCTGGGAGATAACAGGGTTAGATGTGGTTATGAGGGTTAGAAGATAGAACAGAGATGTTGCTTGCCAGGCATAGCTTTCCACCATGTGAAGGGTGTAAAAAGGAGTCAGCAATCTGCATCCAGAAAAAGACCCCTACCACCACCCAACCATGCTGATGCCTATGTCCAAAATTGTGACCAATACATTTGTTTCTAACCCACTCAGTTTCAAACCCTGAAGGAATACTGTGTTGGAGTATGTTTGTGTGTGTTCATGTCTGTGTCTGTGTGAAAGATGTACCTATCTATGAAAATAACATGTTAGGACAACACTTAATCCCTTACAAATCAGGAAGATATAGCCAAACCACTGAATAGAAAAGAAAAAAACAAAGAAGTAGTTGTTCAAAGAGGAGGAAATGGTATGTCTGATAAACATAGGACAGGGAATCAGGGAGAAGTAAATGAAGATCATCAATGCATTTCATTCAAATGGCAGGGTTAAGAGGAAATGTCAATAAAAGGGAGCTCAGCTATCCCTGAACCAAGAGTTCATGGGTTCCACTCACCTTTCATGGTGTTGAACATTCACATTTTCTAAGGGTCAGGATTCTCCTTCTGGGCATGGACTCAAGGGACACTTGAACGCACCGGGAGCTATGCAAGAATATCTTGGCAGTACTTGTGTGGCACACTGGAAAAGCCCAGACACAGCCCAAAGTTCACTAACAGGCAAATGAACTTTGGTGCAGTCTGACTGTGGAATATAATACAGGAATCAAGCAATTAAATCATTGTGATAAATATTAGTAGCCTAATATTGGGTGGGAGAAGCAAACCATGAAAATCACAAAGTTAAGGGTCAGAAAGACGGGACACAGAAATGAGGATAGATGTGAGCTATTGATACCGTTAGAGTTCTTGCTCCAGGTAGAAGTTAGTTAGTATGTGATCTCATAGTAAGTCATAGACGAAGAAGAATCTTGCATGAGCACATGGATGTGCTAATGGTGCTTCATACTAAGATGATGTCTATCTTAATTGTCTGGAGTCTATGCACACAGTATATTCCCAATGCTCAGAGTTAAGATTCCAATCTTATAGATAATGCATCTCGAAATCACTGTGGTGCTTCTCAGGTTATTTGTTGAGTCACAATTTGTGTTTTGGCAGCTCTAGGGTTTGGAACACAGCTGTGCACTTGGTAGGCAGGAGCTCTACCACTTCAGCTCTGCCTTCAGCCCTTTAGTTTCTTTTTTTTTCAAATAGAGTCTTTCTAGCCCCAGACCATGATCCAACAGGCATGTATCATCTTGTCCAGCATGTTTTGCTGAGATGGGTATTGATCACTTTTTGCCCAGATTCTCTTCGAATCACAATGCCTCCCAACTAGATGGTGTTATAGGCAAGAACGACACAGATTGCCAGGCCTCACTTATGAGTTCAGTTAACAAGTAAGTGGTCATTTCCATTACCCACTGTCACAGCCATATTTAATTCTGTTACAGAGGACAGCTCCATCTCCATTGGACAGA